TGACCTGAGCGTAAGGCATATGCCTAACGACTGAGACACCCAGGCACTCCATAAATAAATAAAATCTTTAAAAAAATTTTCTGCTATAGAGAATTCTCTCCTTGATGCCCCTCCTTTATTATTCCCCAAAGTGAGCCTTTCCACATGATGAGCTTTAAATTATCTGAGACTGTTTTTGATTTGCCTTTAATCTGGAAAGAAATTTTGCAGAGTGTGGAATTCCATTGCAAGTTTTTTCTTTCCATGTTTGAGATATCATTCTACTGTCTTCTGACTGCCACTGTTGTTATTAAGAAGTTAGTTGTCAGTCTTTTGCTTCCTTGAAGATAGTGCCTTTTTATTATCTGTTGCTCTTACTAGCTTATCTTTGTCTTAGATTCTATGCAATTTCAGTCTGATATGGATTTCTTTTTATTTACTTGGAATTTATTGTGTTTCTTAAATCTGTGAATTTGTGTCTTCACCAGTCAGTTTGAGGAATTGCTAGTGCTTCTTTCTTCAAATAGTGCCTCTGCCCTACTTTATCTTTCCTTTTGGGACTCCAATAAATGTCATAAGCTTTCTCACTTTATTCCCCACATCTTTTCTACCCTTTTCTGTATTTTCCATCATTCTTGTGTCTGTGCTATAATTTATATTTCTTCTCATTTATTTCCAAGTTAATCAATTCTCTCTTACTTTTTTTTTGTTTCCAGATTTATTGAGGTATAATTGACATATAACATTGTATAAGTTTAATGTGTACAAAGTAAGGTGGTTATTTGATACACGTTTTGTTTGTTGTCTACTTGTGTGTTCTTGTTGTTCACTGAATTTCTCTAAAAGGATTATTCAGGGTTCTTTGTCAGACAGTTTATTTATCTCCATTTCTTTAGGGTCAGTCATTGGAGTTTTATTAGTTTTCTTTAGTGGTGTTGTGTTTTCTTGATTATTTGTGATCCTTGTGACCTTTATTGATGTCTGTGCATTTAAGGAAGTAGGCACTTCTTTCAGTTTTTGTAGGCTGGCTTTGGAAGGGAAAGCCCTTTGCCAGTCAGCTTGTCCAGAGATTCTGGGTGGGCTTGCTGCTGAAGTTCTCATAGGCATGTCTGTTGCCTGGGTCAACAGTTGAGCAGACCTGGTACTTAGGTCCATAGGGGCTAGTCTGTGTCTGGGTTCACTGGGTTCACAGGCCCAGTGCCTGTCTCTGGTGGTAGGCCTGGGACTGGGGTCTGTGTAGATGGGCCTGACATCTGGGTCCACAGGGGCTGGCCTAATGGTGGGGTGGCCCTGGAGCCTGGGTTCATGGGAGCTGGCCTGGAAGCCGGGACTATGGAGGCCACCCTAGCAATTGGGCAAGCCTGAACCTGTAGCTTCGGGGGCCATGAGGGCCACTCTGGAGTTTGGATCCATGGGGGCTAGCCTGGAGGCTGGAGCCATGGGAGTTAGTCTGGAGACTGAGTCTCTAGGGACCAGCCTGGTGCTGGGGTGGGCTGGTAGCCTGCACCCATGGGAGCCCACCCAGAGCCTAAGTTTATGGGTGTAACCTGTCTAGAGCCTGAGGCCATGGGGTCTGTCCTGGTGCTAGGGCAGCCTGGGGGCCTAGATCCACGGGAGACTGCCTGAACCTTGGGGCCAATGGTACCAGCTTGGAACTGGGGCAGGCCAGGAGCCTCATTCATGTGAGCTTATCTGGAGTCTAGATTTGTGAAGGCTGCCCTGGGTGCTGGGGCAGGCTGGTAGCCTAGGGCCATGAGAGTCAGCCTGATGCTAGGGAGGGCCAGGAATCTGGATTAGCAGGAGGCTCTCTGGAGCCTGGGTTTGTGGGGGTCTGCCCAGTGCTTGGGTGGACTGGTAGCCTGGTTGTTGGAGCCCACCAGAGGTCTGGGGCCATGGGAACTGGCCTGGTGCTGGGATAGGCCCAGAGCCTCAGGCCACAGGAGTCAGTCTGGTGCTGGTGTGGGCTGGTGGTAGAATCCACTGTGAAGTCAGTTCCTTACTTCACTCTCCTCCCATGAGTTGGATGTCTCTACCTTGGCTTGGTTGGGGGGTTGGGCAATGGGAGTAATGGTGAAACTATGCTTCCTATCCTTTTTTCAATGCATCTTTTCTTATTTCTGTGTTCTACCCAGGTGCTGTCATCCCTCACCTGGAATTCTTAGCTCTTGTGGAAGTATTTTTATGTATGGATAATAGTTCAAATTGACATTTCTGGGAGGCACTGAGTGCTAGAAATTCCTATACCATCAGTGGTACTCTCTAATTCTTCCTTCTGCTGTGTGCTGTCTGTTGCTAAATACAAATTTTGGTTTATGTCATTTTATTTATTGTGTTATATAATTCTAGAGATGCTGTTTAACTCTTCCAAATCTGCCACACTTCATAGTTTGCTGTTCTAGAAAAATATATCCATGTTTGTCATTTGCTTCTTAAATATGGTTAGGATAGTTGTTTTATGCTCTCTGTATAATAATTACAGAATCTGATGTCTGTGTATGTTTCTGCTTTATCTTGCTTTGTTTATTTTTTTGGTTCTTGTTCTTGTGATCTTGTTTACTTGTATGCCTGGTAATCTTCAACTCCTTGTGGCTTGTTGTCTTTGTGAAATTATTTAAGTGGCTCTGCCCTCCTCTAGAGAGGCTTTCTCTTTGTTTCTGGTGGAAAGTGTTTGGTCTACATTAAACCAATTTGAGAGTTCCTGGCTCAATCAAGCTGTGAGTACTCAAAGTGGAAATCCTCCAGAGGGCCTGTCCACAGCCATAGCCTTCCAGAAATTACTTCTTTTCTTTATATCTTTCCCTCCCCCACTTTGTTCAGTGCCAAGACAGCCCACTTCATGGGTTCCAGAGATTGGGGAAAGGTGAGAGTGGGTCTAGATCTGGTTTGCTTGTCCCCCCTCCAGTCATAGGCGGCTCCTGAGTCTTGACCTTTTTTTTCTTTTTTTGTGCTGCTGTGACTAGAGTATGGCATGTGTGTGTGTGTGTGTGTGTGTGTGTGTGTGTGTGTGTGTGTTATATCAGCACAGAACATATAGTTCAGTAGTTTTAATGCTCCTTTATTTCAGATCCTGATTCCATAAGTCTGGGATAAACCCTGAGATTCTGCATTTCTGACAAGCTTCCAGGTGATGCGAATGATACTGGTCCACAGGTCACACTCTGAATATTGAGGATATATAGAACAAAGACTGTTCCATTTAATAACTTGGCAATATGTGAACAATAGCCAAATTGAATGATGGGAATTGTGCTATAGAAGTTGGGAAGGATTTATGGAACTGAGGTGACATGTTAGACCTTGATGTAAAGTAGTGAAGGATAGATATGGGTGGATAAAGGAATGAAATCCCAAGTTGGATCCAGTTCTGGCTACCTGAAGAGAGAAGGAGGGCTATATCTCTAGATTTTATTCCTATGGAGTTCTTACAGAGAGAGAAATTTCCTTCACATATTTGACCCAGTGTCCCTTCTCAGGATCATCCACCACCTTGGTGGTAAAGGATACACCTCCATACTAGGGAGACATAAGTAGAGGTCTTGGGTTATCTGGTATCATGGAAACCCCCATCACCTCAACTAATGGCACTGGCTACATGGAGCTCCATGTATTTATAGGATGAAATAATGAATCTGAAAGGATCCACATCTTATTAGCTCTGGTCCCGAATGAGTTGGCATGCATCATCCATACCAATGTATCTTGAATATTTGCTTCTTTGTACCTTATGGCAGGACATTGAATCTCTCTCCTCAAGATATCCAAGTGGGTCTGGTCCTACATAAGGAGCATGGGGGTGATGCCATAGGCTCCAGACTTTCTTCTTAGAGTGTGGAAATCAACTCATGCTAATGGATACCTAGGGCAACTCCTCATCATAGCCACAGATTGATTCTGAATCCTAGTTTTGACTCAGAGACACCTACTGCATATTTAAGTGTGGGTACTTTATGATTCCACACTCCTGAAGGATTGGTTATGGGGATATCCAGGACAAGATGATAATGACCTTTCACATCCCACTGTGCAGTGGGAATCCCTTGGAACTGTATACAGTGTGAACATGAGGGTGTTAGGTAGTTAGGTAATTTGATGAGGTAGAAATGTCAAGAGCTAGGATGCTCTATGGTGGTCAAAGCAAAAAGGCTGGTAGAGACAAATAGGCTGATCTGGGGTCTGGTGACAGACTTAGGAGACTTAATAGGCCAGTTGCTACAGGAAGCTGTCATGTACTGGGGGCTTTGCATAGTCTTCTTTAACCCACACAATAATCTAACAAGGTACAATGCATTTCATATAATAATCATTTGAGGATCAGAGATGTGAAGAGACTCTGCCAAGGACACAAGTCTGAAAGTTGCAAAGCCTAATTGTGAACACACATCTTTTGAATATAAGTCTCTGGTTTTTGAACACATGTCTCTGGCTTTTGAACACTAAACTACTATCATAGTGTGGGTTCTCCCTGAGAAACCCTACCATTGTCCCACCAGAAGCTGGGGAGGCTGGGACATTTATCCACGAGCCCTTTCCCCCATTGGTTGAGGTTGCCGTTGAGATGAATACCCTTGAGGTATGAAGCTGACAGGTGCTGGGAACTGTCACAGTGACAGTGAACTCAGTTGGCCTGAAGGGATTGGGGCAGAGTATCAACAGCATTGTCTCAGCTTTCCTTTATGTAAGACCTAATGTGTGTCGGCTAGCTCAGAGCAGTGGAGCATCTGGGAGCCAGGCTCCCTTTCCCACTAATCCAGGGTAGTGATCTAGAGTCAGTGATAGGCAGGGTGCACAAAAGCTGGCTTTGCCCAGGTTAGGCTCCCTTGAGTGGAGAAGCAGCATGCAAACAGACTCTGAAAAGCTGGAGAAGCATACACTGGGGCATTTTTACCTGGTCTGAGATTGGCAGAGAATATGGTGACTGGACCAGGAATAGTTGCAAGCTACACAGGTCTTAGGGGACCCACCCCTTCCTTAGTCTATCTTAAACCTACTAGGGGCTTCCACTCCTAGTAATAACATTCCAGTATGTCATTTTGTGGCAAAAGAATCCAGTCATGGGCCCTCGGGCAGTCCCATAATATTTCTTTCCTCAAACTCGGTGTTGATGACTATATTTCCTGGTCATTGCTCTTAAGGGCTTAGCATGCCCTACTTTTTCAGGGTGAAGAGACAAGTCATAGCGATGCTTGGTTGATATTTACATAAAGACTCACTGAATCCTCTGGCACCAGGAACCAGCAAATATTGAGTGTCAGGCAGTCCCAGCCCAAGTGAGGCAGAACTTCCTTCCTTCCACATGTGGATAAAATGCTTGGGACCTGTTGGAGTCAGTCAGAGCACCTGAGTGCAGAGGAAGCCATAGTCCATAATAACAGATTACAGGTACAGCCTGAAGTCACAAAGCCTATTGACCTTTGATCTTCTCTTGCATCTGGGTCTCTGGTTTCTCCTGTCTTTTCAGTAAAAGAACTAGGAGTCCTAGAAAACTTTCCAGAGCCCTTGGATGCAGATAGAACCTTAACTTTGGATCCATGGACAAGAGCATCTCCTAGACAAAGGTAACTTCAGCTCAGAAGCCATTTGTGGGGAGTCTTGTTTCACTGCTCTATGTCTAGCCTTGGGGAGCCTTAGGGGGGCCTTGGTGGAAGGCACAGGGTGCTGGAGAAGCTAAGGCTTCTTCCAAGAGTACAGGTGGTGATTTGCTTACTCCCTGTCCAGTGATGACTATTGAATCAGGCCGTGAGGATCCTGAGGCGGGGAGGGATGTGAACAGCTGGCTCTCGCTATGGGGAGTTTATGGCCTTCTTGGAGAACTGTCCTGGTTCCCTAATCAGAAGCCCAGGGACAGATGGCCCCTGACAGTCAAAACACCTAATAGAGATCCTAGTGATGCCTCTTTGGACGAAGAATGGGTGAAGACGGGGTTATAGAGGCAGATTTGCTGCTAGTTATTTAGTGGTGCTCAAGCTTGAAGTCCGGATGAGTGGTGACTCACCAGCCATCTGGGAAGCTAGAATGGAGATAGATGCCCAGTCTCCCCTCCATTCCTTCCTTTAAATCTGGAGACTTGTTGCACAAAACAGTGCCTGAGGTGATGCTCTGGAACTTCCTAACAATCACAGATGTGATGGATGGAGGGCATCCCAAGGCCATCAGAGTCTGGAGAACAAGGACTACCCAGTCAGGACAGAGATGGGAGTTTCCATTTGGGGTTTTCTGGCCTTGGAAAACCCCATCCTTAGTCTCGGATGTGTATTTGGGACAGGATTTTGGGGCAGCTTTCTCAAAAGAATTTTTACACAAAATGCCAGGGTGGAGGAGGGGCGGTGAGAAATTGATGACATGTTTTTCTTCTTTCTTTCCCCCACAAAACCAGCTGCTGACAACCTCCTCTCTATTATCTGATCTACCTTGTCCTCTTCACAGGAAGCTCTGAAACCATCATGGCTACCACACAATGTGAGTGGTGAATTTCAAACCAGCCTGGAAATATCTCCATCCTGCACCAAAGACAATAGAGTACCGGGCCCCTATCATTTACTCAGTTATAGATGCATTTATTTCTTGCTAAAATATGCAGATTGCAAAACCTGCATTTGAAAATCTCAGAGCATTTAGCTCTTTTCTTTTTTTTTTTTTTTAAAGATTTTATTTATTTATTTGAGAGAGAGAATGGGAGACAGAGAGCACGAGAGGGAAGAGGGTCAGGGGGAGAAGCAGACTCCCCGCCGAGCAGGGAGCCCGATGTGGGACTCGATCCCGGGACTCCAGGATCATGACCTGAGCCGAAGGCAGTCGCTTAACCAACTGAGCCACCCAGGCGCCCCCATTTAGCTCTTTTCTTATTATGTATGTTCAGAATTATTATTTATTTCAATAAAGAGGGTAAAGAAAAAAACAAGAAACATATCGATGACCAATTTGAATATTTTTGGTTTTGTTACTACCCAGAGACTATCAATCAGAAAAAGACAAGTCACTGATATCCCTAGAAAAAAGACAAATCTTGAAAATCTTTTGGGGACTATAAATGCAGGTAGATCCTTACAGACGCTTTGATCCACAAACCAGTTCCTGCCTTATTTCTTCTCCCTTTCTCCTTATAGCCACTCTTTCTCAGAGCAGTAAGCCTACCCCCAAGGATTCAAAAACCATTATTACCAAGATGCAGCTAGGGTCCTGAAGTTTATAATAGCCTCATATATGTTTTGTGTTTTCTGTCTTCTCTCAGCGGTAGATAGTCCCAGAATCTTTGGTGTTTATGATTCTCAACAAATGGTGTGGATCCTGAAAGAAACTTCATTAATAGCAACTCCTTTTAGCAGAAATGTCAGACCTGGTGAGTGACAATCAAAGCCACTGTTTCCTCTAAAGGGGACACCAGCTTCTGGGGGTTGGGGCTGAGCTTGCTTGAGCCTGGCCTTGGGCCCCTCCTACTTCTGGGCGGCAGCCCAGTGTCCACAGGGAGGACAAGAAGGCTCTCTTCCACAGAGGAAACCCTGCACCTAGAGATGAGGATGTGAGGGGTTGGCAGTTCTTCTTATCAAGAGAAAATGTCTGCAGATAAGAAGAGATTATCCACTTAAGCAGTGGTTGACCTTTTCCTTGGAGTTTCTCTCCTTTAAATTTCAACCGTATCACTACCTATGTCCCCAGAATCAAACTTGATCATCTTTTCACTATCAAACCTACACACTTTCCTAATTTGGTGTCCTGTCTTCTGATAATGGGGGATATTCCTTTCTCCCAGCAAAAATCAATCTGTCTCAGCTTCTTTCCCTTTTGCTAGGACTTCAATGTTTGATTTAATTTTTTTATTAAAGATTTTACTTATTTGTTTGACAGAGAGAGACACAGCAAAAGAGGGAACATAAGCAGGGGGAGTGGGAGAGGGAGAAGCAGGCTTCCTGAGGAGCAGGGAGCCTGATGTGGGGCTTGATCCCAGGACCCCGGGATCATGACCTGAGCTGAAGGCAGACGGTTAATAACTGTTTGATTTAATTCTTCTCTTTCCTGCATAGTCCACCTTTGTCTGTTGGCTGGATCCTTTCTATCACTGACAGACATGCTCTAATATAATATTTCTAAGTTTAATACTAAACACCTTCTCTTGATTCCCACATTCCACTCTTACTACCACTCTTTTTTTCCCTGTATGCCAATCTCTATACAGTGATATGTACTAGTCATAGCCAAACTTCATAGGAGAGCTGGCTATACAACCTGTTTCCACTTCATCTCCTGCTCACGCTTGCACCAAACAACCTGACTTCTGAACTGTTCTCTCAAGCTCCCCTTCCCAAGGTCACCAAATATGCTCCTCCGTCCTCATAATGTTTGGTTCCTCAGCTGCAGTCAGCATAATTGGTAACTCTTTCTTTCTTGAACACCCCCATCTTCTCCTTCTGTAGGAACATTCTCTTGTGGTTCACTGGCTTCTCTTTGACATTCTCCTTTCCGACTCCACTTTCTCTATAAAATCTCCAAATGCCGGGGATCCTCGGATCTCAGTCTGCAATCATTATGTGACCCCACTGAAGTGATTGGGAGTTGGTCTCTTAGATTGATGTATCATCTCTATCACTCTGGCATTTATGCTTCCAACCAAAAAGTCCCCTCTGGACAATTTACCCATGTCCTCTCGATGTCCCCTCAGACATCTTTAACTTCATCTATCCCAAGCAGAATTATGGATCTGACTTCTCAAAACTGCTGATGAGCCTAGTCTTCCCCATCTCTATTAGTGGCATTACCATCACTTGTTTCCTCGAGCCAGAAGTGCAGGAGACATCCTTGATTCAATCTCTGTCCAATCCATCAGCAAAGACTGAGGAGTCTCTGTGCAAAATATGCCTTATTTCTAAGATAATATAATCTCTCACCTGGGCCACTGCCATTGCCTCCTCACTGCCCTCCCTCACCCTTCATTTGTGTAGCCTCTCATCCAGTCTCTACAAAACATTAAGAGTGACCTTCTGAACAATGTTAATTGAACAGTATCATTCCCATGTGTTTGTGTCTTGGGGGTGGGAGGTGGGGGCTAGTGGGGAGATCTCAGGGGCACCGGTCTTCTTTCAGAGTCACATAGGGGCCTTAACCAATCCTTTCCCTGTGACACTCTCCTTTCAGACCCTCTCCAGCACCCATGTTTTCCCATGTTTTCATATACTAGTTTCCTCTTAACTTTAAGGTCTTGGTTTGAACTTCACTTCTGCAGAGAGGTCTTTCTTGATTTCTCTATCTAAATTTGGTCTCCTACTGTCCCAGGCTTTGGTCCCTTACCCCAAAGCAGGCATTGCAATTTATTGTGGTTCTGGTCATTTCTCTGCTTACATATTTTGGTCTCATTTTCTGCAGGGGCAAAGACAATGTCTGTCTTATCCTCAGCTAAATCTCTGGTGCCCACATGCAGCCTTGTCCTGAGTGGGAATTCAATAAAGAGAGTTGACTGGAGAATTCTCAACCCCCTGCGCAGAAGGATAGAAGCAGAATACCCAGGCTCCTGGGCTAAATTAGTTGGGAATTAAATTCAGCTGATGGTGACAAAAAACCCACATAACTGGGACTTAACTAAGAAGTTTATTTCTTTCTCATGAAAAAGAAGGCTAAGCAGGCAGGCTGAGGCCAGTGTGGTGGCTCCATGATAACCCCATAGTCCAAAGATTCTAGCTTTCTGCTTTACCAAGCTCAAGTTCTCCTCAATCATCAACCAAGTATTTGAGGCTGGCAGTAAGAATACACAGGGTATAAGGAGCTTCTCCCAGCTGAGTCAACTCCTTTTAAAGAACATTCTTAGAAATCCCACACAACACTTCCACATTTATCTAATGGGCTACAACTTCAGCGTATGATCAAATTTAGCTGCAAATGTGGTAGGGAATTTTTATTTTTATTTTTGGGACACAATATGCCTTGGTAACAACTGGGGTTCTGATATTAAGTAAGAGAGTGAAAATGGGCTTCAGATAATGATGAAGGGTCTCAGCTCCATGGTGAATGGGAGGAGCCTTCTGAGGGACTCCTGACTGCTCAGCATCCCGCCTGGCTAGGAGGAGTAATGTTCGGCCAGAAGGACTGGACTTTCTGCTGCTTGGGACCTGATACCTGTTTCCATTTTTCCTTGTGTTTCCAGTCAGTCTTGATTTAACAACATGTACAGACAAAGAATTTCATGATGCAGGAAAAGGCAATCCAGTTTACTTGGGAATCGAGGGCAACCATCTTTGTCTCTTCTGTGCAGAAATTCAGGGCCAGCCTACTCTGCAGCTTAAGGTGAGTGATCGTACAGCTAATGAGAGAAGCACTGTGAGATGCACTTTTTATTTCATTTAACATATTGCTGAATAAAAATGACATTTTTTCAATCCTGAATTGTTCACTTTAAGGAAGGAAATGTGACTTGGCTGACCCCCAAGTCAATGGGCATGGGTGTAACACTCATTTGAATGTAAGAGCATTCCCCGAAAGCTAGAGGGTACACCCATGAGAATGTTTCAAAAAGGCCAAGGAATGGTGGTTTCTTAATCATCAGTTTTCTTTAACTGCCTCCCAGAAGTCCTCCAAGATGCTGGGCTGCTCCCACTTAAGCAAAGGCCACTGCGTGGCAGAGGAGACAGGGGGAGATTGTTAGTCTGGATTTTGTGGATTATATGCCTGTGGTCTCTGTACCGAAGGTAGCATTTGTAGTTATGAAGCGAACCCTTCTGGTTATGATGAACGCTGTAAGATGTCAACCCACTTGGAGGCTGGGAATCTTGTGAGATGCCCACACTTGCAGATGGGTGCCCACCAGGAGCACCCACAGAAGAGACTTAAGCTGGTCTCTGTTCTCAGGGAAGATAGTGCTGTCTCAGAGAATCAGAAAGACCTGGTGTTATAGGATGCTGGGATGGAGCAAAGCTATTGGGAGCCAGCGGGTTGTCTGTCTTGACACTTGGTGTCCTTTCACCTGCCTGTGTCCCTGGCCTCTGTCCCTCCCTTTGGGGAAGCAGTCACTCTCGGGGCTGTGTTATTTAGACCCTTCCTCTCAGTAATCCTCTCTAATGAGCCTTTTTCCTAATCCTAGGAGAAAAAGATCATGGATATGTCCAAGGAGAAGAAAGCGCAGAAGCCCTTTCTCTTTTTCCATAGTAGGGAGGGCTCCACCTCCACCTTTGAGTCTGTCTCCTACCTGGACTGGTTCATAGCCAATTCCAAAATGGCAGGTCAGCCTGTCATTCTTACCAAGGAGAGGGGCAAAAATTATACCACTAACTTCTATTTAGATCCTCAGGACTAAATTCAGCCTGGGCTGTGGGTGGCTGATTCCAGAAGAGAGGATCAAGCAGTCAGAGAATCTTCCATTCCAAAACACAATAGGTCATCTTGAGAGACCTCCATGCACTGATGCCCATCCGTAGTCCCCCTCATTCTCATCACCCAAAACCACCTCTTCCTTTAGATATCCATTTCTGCACCATGTCTCCCCTGAACATCATCCTAGTATAAAACCTGAGTTACTTTTTATTCTTTCCTGATCTTGTCCCACCATCCACTTATCTGCCATGTCCAGTTAAATCAACATCCAAAATGCTTCCTGTACACACCTCTCTCTTTTGCTTCTGACGACCTATGGCCTAGAGATGTGAGTTCCAAACATTTTTGTTCATAGAACCCTATCAATAAAAGAGTATTATCTGTTAATTCTCTGCATGTTTATTATAAATATGATGTGTGTTCCCAAATTAATCTAAAGTTTTTATCTATCTAAGTAATCTCTACACCCCACATAGGGCTCAAACTCATGACCCTGAGATCAAGAGTCACATGCTATTCTGACTAAGCCAGCCAAGTGCCCCACCAAAGATGAATCTAAAGGATAAGATAAATGTGAAATAAAAATTTTACATGTCTTGATCATCATAATGGATTCATAATATCATTAGTTAATAATTTGACACATAACACATACTTTGGTTAAGATTAATTATTAACTGTAGTGAATTTAAATCAATCCATATTTCAGAGAATCACTTGTATCAGTTTAAATTTTTTTCAGGTGACTTCTCAGAACTTATTGTATTGTCTTTGTTTTCACTTACAAATTAGCTCAAAGGAGAAGTACCAGCTTTGATATTTTCCTGTTATTATTCATGTTTTCTGGAATTTTAGTCAAATCCTTAACTAACAGTTTCTTTACTGGGATACTTTTAGGCCAGTTGTCCCTTTGGTGAGGGTTACTTTATTTAAAGCCTGTAATAAAATCTCCAGATTCACTTAGCCAGTCACAAGGAACTATAATTTACCATAATATCCTGCACTTGAATGTGAGCATGATGGACTCTCTTCCCTCAGGAGACCTTGCCCTTCTCTGCATATGACAGGCAGTGGTATCAGGTTTTGCAATGGATACCCATTGCTAACTAAGTTCAAATTTCTTACCGAGACATAATCTCTTCCAAAACCTATCCTTGTGGCATTATCTCCTGGTGCCTCGCTGGCCATGGTCCTGAGACAACCCTTGAATCCCCCCTTACATCCTGTTTGCCTACCTCTTACTCTAGTCATTGCTGTGTGACCAGCTCTGAAAAGGTGTAACCTGACATCATGTCATCTCAGCTGCACCAAGCATCTGTCTCTCTCTGCTCGGGGGCTCCTAGGACACCTTGGGGAAAGACACTTGCAGGAACTTGCTTTGCACTCACACATGCACACACCTGGAAGTGAGATGGAGCTGCCCATGAAGAACCCTTGACCAGTGGGGGGTGGGAGTGGGTGGGTACCTGCTATTCTCTTGGATCCTTCAGGTGCACAATTCTGAGATGCATTCTACCTACAGGGTTCTTCAGAGGGTCCCAGTAGAATTGAGTCATAGTCATCCATGGCAGCGCTGAGCTCAAGAACACACTCTTGCATTGGCTTATCTCATTTCCTTGCTTCGGTTTCTCCATGCCCCATTCCTGTTCCCTGGGGTCACTTCTCACCATCTGAATGCAAAACCCTTGTCTCAGGTTCTGCTTTCCGGTGTAAACCCAGGCTAAGACAGATTCAATCAAAGCGAGCTTCTTTTCTGTACCAGCTACACCCAGCACGTTGGATTTCTTCCCTCTGTGCCTCTGCACATGATTTTGCAAACATTTCAGCCACTTTCATCACTGTGTCTCTCACCTGCCTATGTCTTCCTAATATCCTACATCTGTCTGAAGTGTTTAGAGGCTGCTCCTCATCCTCCCAAGAAAATCCAACATCTTATCTTCTTTGAAGTCTATAGCACTTTGCCTTATCATGTGACAGACATTTCTTCTGTTAGACTTGTGCTAGAGATTTTTCTCCTTGTTTTGGCCTCTTTGCTCTTTTCTCCTCAACCAGATTCTAGGTACATAGTGGGCAGAGATTGTGACTTTGATATCTCTATACTCCTTAGGTGCAAAATCTTGCCTCCTACATAATAGTTGCTCAAAATATATTGTTGAAACAAATGAATTCTCATTGCATGTATTAGCATCCTCCAATGATACGGAAGTGTGTCAGAGTGGAGTTTGCTTTATCATGGCAGAGGCAGCCCTAACTGCAAGAAGGGTGTGAGGAATGTCAAAGTTCCTCAGAGAAGGTGGGGAAGGAAAGCACAGAAAAGCTGGCTAGGAACTTTTCTGTCTCAACTCTTCTTCCTCCTCCTTGTATGCCAGTCTAACCTTAGCAGACTGCAATGATGTTAGGATATTCTCTCAGGAGGGGATGGCTGTAGAAACAAAGCACAACCCAGAGCTTCCCAGAGGGCTTCCAGCCAATGTCCACTGACTCCGTGGCATCTCCCTCTTGGATTTTATCCAAGCCTTCACCAACATACATTTATGCATACTCATAAACTACTTAAGGGCACAGGAAAATGATAACAGGGGAATCCAGTGTTTCAGTTTTTTTTCTCTGACAAGGTCAGGACGAAGCATAAATGACCCCAAGGATGGCTATGAGAGGTTTCTGGTGGCAATGAAATGGACGCAGAGTAAGCAGGTTTTCTGAGAAGGGCTGCAAAGAATGTGAGTTCTGTAAATAGCTGAATGTGTAGAAAGGATAGTAGAGAGTGATAGAAAAAAATAACTCTAGGCTGTTCTTATAAATATTAACTTTTTGGAAATCCCAAGAGCACTGGAGATGAGCAGGAGGTAGACAGCTCGCCCACCCTACACTGCACCCTCTCACAGAGGAGGTGAGGAAGTGGTGGTGGTGGTGGAGGAAGAAGAGGAGGAAGAAGAGAAACCACAGAAGGACCCAAGAGGTATTCTCAGATATTTTATTGGCTCTCCTAGTTTGAGGAAGGTTTTCATCTGTTTGGGCTACTGTAACAAAATTCCTTAGACTGGCAGCATAATAAGAACAAACATTATGTCTTGTAGCTCTGAAGACTAGAAGTGTGATATAAGGGTGCCAACATGGTCAGGTGAGGGCCCTCAGAGGGTTGCAGACTTCTCATCGTGGGCCTCACATGGTGGAAGGGGAGAAAGCCTCCTAGGCCTCTCTCATATGGCTATCAGTCCTGTTCGTGAGGGCCCTGCCCTCAGGATCTAATCACCTCCCAAAGTCCCCACTTCCTTATCTGATCACATTGGGCCTTAGGATTTCATCATATGGATTTTGAAGGAATCAGACATACCCGTTCCCACACCCCATCTTCTCCATCTCAGTTACTCAAGACAGAAACCTAGGAGCCACCCTTGATTCCTCCTTTCCTTTGAGCCCTACCTCTAATCCATGAAGTCTATCTCTAAAGACGTCTACCTTCAAAAGATCTCCAATCCACCCATCTCTTTTCAGCTTCTCTGCCACTCTCCAATCCAAACCAGGCAGCCACCATAGCTTGCTAGTGCCGTAAATCAGACTCCTGACTGGTGAGTTCCATCTACTCCTCCCTCTGCCCATTCAGTCCAGTCTCCGTGAGCCAGTCAGGATAATCTCCATAAATGTAAATCTAAACTATGTCATTTCTATGTTCACTCCTTCAGTGCCTCCATTAGCACTTAGAAGGAAAAGCAAATCCCCTTTCATAGTTTAAGGGTTGCCTGGATGGCTTGACACCTGCCTCAAACTCCTCTATCTTCCAAGGTAATTCTTTCTCCCTATTACTATTCTCAGTGATGCCAATCTTTTAGTTCCTTGAATATGCCAAATTCTTTTTTTTAAATTTTATTATGTTATGTTAGTCACCATACAATACATCGTTAGTTTTTGGATGTGTGCCAAATTCTTTATAGCCTCAGGACCGTTGCATATGCCGTGCTCGTGCACATCCCTATACCTATATTAGTTTACTCTCATTCTCTGCTTTTCTGGCTCCTTCAAGTCACCTCTTTATATGTCACCTCCTCAAAGAAGCCTTCCTTAAGCATCATGTCCACAGTAAGCCCCTTCTTCTACCTCCTGAATTTTCTATCTCCCATTTTTGACTGTTTCCTTCACACAATTGTAAGGACTTTGTTTATTTGTCTTTATCTCTACTTCCCTCCTTACATTATAAAGTCCTCAATTCCAAGGAAGTGGTATTTGTCTAGTTTACTACTGTATTTCCAGTCCTTAGTGCAGTGTCTGTGTTTAATAAATATATGTTGAATAAATACATTGTTAATAAATTAATAAATGAATGATTGAGGAACTGACCTCCTCCTCTTCTCAGAGCCCAGGGAAAGTCACCATAGTGAGCATCCTGGTCCCTAAAATGGACTCAAGATCCCATTAGGGATCCAGAAGAGAGAGGCATCTTCTCTAAGCCTGAGGCTCTGGCTTACAGCTTTCCCCAGTAACCTCTTCCCAATTCCCAGTGCCTAGAAAGCGTGGGCTTTTTCTAGAGGTATATGAAGACACAAAACTCTTCTAACGTTCCTTATACCAGCAGAGCTTGAAGGGACTATGGGGTAATATTCTTCAGAAGCCGTTGGTGGAAACTCCCACCCCAACTCAGAACTTTGAGATACATCGGAGGGTAGAAGATAATCCCAGAGGCTCTCATGACACATGTAAAGAAGCCTGGGGTTAGCAGAAGGCTTTGAACTGTGGGATTTTTCTCCAAGGGAGCAATGGGTCATGTGATGAGATGCTCTACCCTGGAAAGAGTTTGAGCCTGGGAGCTACTCAGGTCCCTCCAAGGGTGCTTAACAATGGGTGGAGGCAAGGTGATGCTGATCATCATATCCTCCCCAACAGCCACACACACACCACCTACTGAAATTTGATGAAACCAGACTACACCCAGGAGTGTGGGAACACCTTCCCTGCAAACGCAAAGCCAGTGTCCTGAGAGGGGCTCTGCCTTTCCTATTCTTGCTCTTTGCTTGCAACATTTTGGCACTAGGTCTGGTAAAAAAGAGGGAACAGCTTCCAAAACCAAACTATCATCTTGCCCTCCACCATTCTGAGAAAAATGACAAGAAAGTTAGGATACTTTGACTAGAATGTTGTTAGGGGGCCTGATACCAAGTGGGAAAGTGGAGTGAATACTGCAAACCCTAAAGAAGTGATTGCACTAAAGGAAAAGCAAAGCATGAAGTATTTTGACATTTATACCTCGATGATTAGAAGGCCCTTAGAGGTGGATTAGAAAAGGAAAGAGACCAAGAAGAAGAAAAAGACTCAGGAGTCACAGGATAAGGCTCAGTCCAGGAGAGAGGTATGGGAATTCCTGCAAATAGAGAATACCTTTCCTGAATG